TTTTTTTTGAGTTGCAAAATCCACTTGAACATGACGCTGCTTTTTTCGAAGTTTCTCGCGAAGCTCGAAGAACCATTCGAGCCAGAGAATTCGTTTTGGCATCGTTGGATAGACTTGAATGGGGGGTCATGATCACTTATTATCACCAAAAACACTAGAAATTGCCGTATTTACTCGTCCAACAAACCCTCTCCCCTCTTACTATCATGTCACTATCACCCTTACCTCATTGCGGTGTTGTCATGATGAATGTTTCATTATGTTTTCTGGTAATTACCACCTAAAATTCTGATGAATTTTTTAATATAAAATATCGACGCTGTTATTTTAATGACATCTGATTTTCGCTTATTACAAGCTAAGCAAGTATAGCACTAAATATTACCGTTTTCCTGCTATTTTCTTGTTAATGCTACTCATATACCGATCCGGCAAAGCAGCAAAGCAGTAACCTACTTTTATATAGACCGTGTGCCAATGTTACTCCCATCGAAAACCGTATACAGTAAAAGATAAACAATTTTATTTTTGTCTTTTTGAGGTGGATAAATTGATTTTTGTCCCTGCTTTTGTGTTTCCCATGAACAATCTTAAGTTACGTAATATTTTTAATTAAGGGACGAGCTTCATCACGTCATTGAATGTACAGGGTGTCCCGGTAAAGAGCCCTAATTTACAAAGCTTACCATTGTTGAGATACAGTCCTCTACCGGGACACCCTGTACAGACATAATCTGCTGCGCTGGCTATAAAGTTTAGCGCCAGATCCAGATAGAGGGTATTAATTGGTTCTTTATTTGCTATAAAAATGCGTAATTCCGGACGTCGTAAAAGCCACCACTTTTACAGCGTTTCAGCCAAAATGTTGTTGTACGGGGATAAAAGGCGCTTATCTGCAACGTTTTAAACAAAGATCGCGCAATTTCTCTTGGTTGTTTCGGACTGGTAAACAAAACCATTCAAATATTTTTTCTACCGGAAACCGGAACTTTTTTGCATCCAAAACCGATTCCATGCAAAACTGCCAACTTTTCCGTTCCATTCTCCAGTTTGTTCGGCGTCTCAAATGGAGAGTGAAAATTTCCGTGTCTTCTGCAAATATTTATTTTGCATATAAAGCAAGACGGGCGCCTGTTTAGTTCCGGTTGGAACTCGCGAGTTCTAAATAAAATATTTGATATTCATTTAAATATGGAACGCTGTTCATTAAAAACTGCCAGGCAAGAGGGCAAACCCACCGCTATCTTGAGGTGAACAAATCAGCCACAAATCCAATACTTTTCCGATTACAGGATTGATTATGTGGACGCTCTCGAATTGGTTTTTTTATGATAAATAGTCATCCAATTTGTCAGGATGTATAGATTGAGTTTCATTTCACTGCTTCTCCTGATGTATTTTTACGTTTATTTATGGCCGATACATTCCCTAGAAGGTTTCAGTCTGTAGAAATCCAGACATTTCTTGTGCACGCTTAACATAAATTCCTGGTTGGTTTTACCTTAAAAGCGTTTCGGTACTTGTTGGACATGATGTGGTAGAGCAAAGGGTTGATGCATGTGGATAGATAGTACAGTACGCCACTGGCGTATGTGAGGTACAGGTAGGGCTGAAAGTATGCAGTTTGCGCTTCTAAAGAGGCAGTGGCCAGGTAGACTGCGACCAGTCGCTGGGCATGGAAAGGGGCCCAACAGATGAAAAAGGCCGCAACGACGGCAACTGGAAAGAAACACGATGTTTAGCGGAACATGAACGGCAAAAATGCGAAAATTGGCTGAAACTATTTCCGGTCTCCTTCAATATCAGCAGCAATTTTCGTTCTGTTTCTTTCAATTCGATTTCGTGCCACTCAAGGGCCGAAATACACATATTATAGGCATTTTGTGCTACATTTGCAAGCCTTGGAATTAGGCCTGGGCAGGGGCGGATCCAGCTTTAAATTCAGGGGGGGGGGTATGTAGAAAAAATACAGTCTTCTGTTGTCTATGAAATTAGAAAAATTATCGTCGTTTTGTGTAAGGGTGGCGTAAGATTATTGCAAAA